AGCAGTTTTCAGCTTGAAAACAAAATGGTTTGTGTGATGCTGGATTGGGCTCTACCGGGGAGATGTGAATAAATCTTTATGTAAAACATTGTTCAAATGTGCAGGCTGGGGGAAAGGAAAAAGAAGAAACACATCTCCAAACAGGAAGCTGTGCTTGTGGGGTAACTTGCTGGTACATATCTCCCCTCCTGCTGACGCTTGATCTAATTGGGCATGTGGTTTGCAGGCAAAGGCCACCATTCTGGTCAAGAGGGACAGCTGCAAGGTGATCAGTGGGCCATTATCTACAGTGCCATCCCTCTTCAATGTCGCCACTTGGATGCAGCAACCAGGAACCACACCCGCACCCCCCAGTGGAGGGGCAGAGGAACGGCTAGTGCAGGACGGTGTCTTCTCACGTGTGGACTAGAAGTCCCTCCTGTCTCATTTGCAGCACGAGATTAATGACTCATCGCGTGGCTGCTGGAGCCCATGCTCAGCAGGGTCCCCATCCCTCCTTCACCTGCTGCAGCCCTCAGCCACCCTCCACACCTGCACGTCTGCAAGTGTGGTTCCCCCTCTGCAGATCCAGGGCCGCGAGAGCAGCCCGGCCCCCCAGTCCCAGATGTGTGACACGACAGGGCAGATGAGGCTTGGGTCACTGCTCAGGAGTTGTTTCTCATATGTTCACAAACCCCGATCTTTTCACTGGTGTCTACTTTAGCCATCTCTGGCTAAAGACCTACTGACTTGTCTGTTACTGATGTAATCAAAATCCAGTCTTTCTGGAAGAGACCCCAACGGTCTGGGCTTTTTTTCTTTCTTTAAAAGCACTGATACCGTTGGCTGCCCTTTCCTTTAGTGTTTTGTTCCCACCTCCAAGGCTGCACTCGACCAGCAGCACAGCCCACCCACCACAAGCCCACCCTCGACAGACAGTGTGAGCCAGGCTTGCAGGACTCTTGCCCAACGCTTCTCAGCTGAGCCTGGGGCAAGTGGAGGCTTCCACCTCCTAATGGTGGCTGCGGCGGCCACCAGGCTGCCCACACCCTGCCTTGTCCTGTCTCACCGCTACCGTTCTGAAGGCTACGAGAGGCCAGCAAAGGAGAGACGATGTAACCTCTGCCCGTGGGACCCAGGATGACCGCAGCAATGGTTAGCGCACAGCTCTGAAGCAAGGAGGCTGGTTTAAGGACGTGGGAAGTTCTAAGAACCATCTCCAAGAGCCACTCCTGCAGCCATGGGACGCCCCGCGGGGCACCAGAGGGCGCTGTGGTGTGCACAACACGTCTGCATTTCCTACAGTCATTTTATTGTGCCCACTTCAGAAAAACGAAACATGACCGAGTTCTTTTTAAATAGTTTTGAAAGAACAGCTTCC